AAACTAAAATATTTAAAGGGGGCAGTTTGTTTACAGTGTCGTTTCAAACAAGTTGTTACGGAACAGGACTGAATGGACCCAAATGCAACACTCAGTAGAAAGGTGGTTTATTTAGGGGAAACAGAGGGGCTGGGGAAGAGGAGATGGAGGTGAGGCGGACCCCAGGTAGGACACGGAGGACCGAGGGGCTGGCGAGGCGGAGGAGGAGAGGTGAGGGAGCCGTGGGAGGCAGGGGACCGGGGAAGGGAACGGTGTGGTGGCAGGTGGACTGGTGAGAAACGAGGGGAGCCGGGGGAGCGCCGTGGAGGTAGCCTAAGAGTAGAGGACCGGTGGGCGAGCCCAGCTGACAGGACGGAGGGCGAGGGTGAGTGAACCTGGGAAGGGAAACAGACAGGGTTAGACACGGGGAAAAACCAAGAGCTGGAGAACTGAGAGTATCTGCTGGGGATTTCAGGAGCTTGAGTGAACTTGCGGCACCGGGTTAGGAGCAACGACGATCAAGCAGGGGTTGACTGGAGAACCGGGGTAGAAGTATTGTTGTTGATGAGGCTGATTACTGGCAGGTGCGGCAGGCGGAGGAGGCGGCTGACGAGGTGCAGGTGCGGGTCGTTGGCTGGGCTCAGGAGCGGAGGGAGAGAGAGGGAGAGAGAGAGGGAGGGCACACGCAGGGGAGGAGACACAGGGAGGCAGGCAGAGTGCAGGAAAACACCAGGGGAAACACAATCACACGCAAAAACAAGGAGAAATAAAACAGGACACTCACCGTCAGCCGGGCTGCCACCACAACACAAGTACTGTACAAACTTGAGGTACCCTTTTCTTTTTATGTCACTTTCTACTTCTACAAGTTACTTTTCAGATTTATTTTAATATTTAAATACTTGCACAAAAAACATATGAAGAGTTTATCAAACCTGATGTTTTGTTGTAAAGTAACAGTTTATACCACTACAGCTGAAATGATCAGTTGACAGATTATTTAGAGTATTTATTTATGTTATTGTACTTTGTTTGATAGAGATGTTTCTGCTTTTCCTCTGACTGATTGTAATAACTGAGATGTTTGAAGACATCTCTTAAGGCTCTGGGTAAATGTGAATCTTTACAAACCAAACAATCAGCGGATCGACGGAGGAAATAATCAGCAGGCTGATCCAGAATGAAAAGACTCATCAGCTGCAGTCTGAAACTGATCAGCTGAGAAGGAGCTGCAGCTCAACATCCTGCTGCACTTTACTGAGGAGGAAGAAGAACCTGTGACAGGACAACATTTTACTGCTTTGTGTACTTTTACTACGTGAGTATTTTGACAGTGTGGTATTTTGGTTCTGAGTAACAGGTGTGTGTCTCAGCTGTTCCTGAGTCAGCAGCAGCTGCTGCACTTTCTCCTGCTTCTTTCTGTCAGCTGATTTACGTGTTCGACGTCACAGACACTGAGCTGAAGAACACAAAATACACTGGTGGACTGATTTTACTTACAAAAAGTGGGAGAAAAACATGTTCCAGGTCCAGATGTTAACTGGCTCTGGTCCTGGTATTTCACACAGTTATTCCCAACAACCTGGGTTTGAGGAGAAGCTGGACCAGCAGGAGGCAGCAGAGGAACTTCTCTCTGTGACAGAGAGGCTGCATCAACACAGAGAGCTCAGAGAAATTAAAATGAGCTGAGTCGTCACTTCTGTAAGGAGGGCAAATAACTTAAAGTTCTTCACATGAATATTTAGCTTTAATAATGATGAAGTTCATCTGAACCAGCTTTTATATTACGTACATGAAGAAGAAGAAGAACTGTTCCTACAGTCAGCTGCAAACGCATATCAACAGCAGTGGTGTTGTTGTTGTGGGTGCTGTGTCGTTGTTGTTGTGGGTGCTGTGTCGTTGTGTCATTGTTGTGGTGGTGTTGTTGTGGGTGCTGTGTCGTTGTTGTGGGTGCTGTGTCGTTGTGTCATTGTTGTGGTGGTGTTGTTGTGGGTGCTGTGTCGTTGTTGTTGTGGGTGCTGTGTCGTTGTGTCATTGTTGTGGTGGTGTTGTTGTTGTGGGTGCTGTGTCGTTGTTGTTGTGGGTGCTGTGTCGTTGTGTCATTGTTGTGGTGGTGTTGTTGTGGGTGCTGTGTCGTTGTTGTTGTGGGTGCTGTGTCGTTGTGTCGTTGTTGTTGTGGGTGCTGTGTCGTTGTTGTGGTGGTGTTGTTGTGGGTGCTGTGTCGTTGTGTCGTTGTTGTTGTGGGTGCTGTGTCGTTGTTGTGGTGGTGTTGTTGTGGGTGCTGTGTCGTTGTGTCGTTGTTGTTGTGGTGTGTGTGTTGTGGTGGTGTTGTTGTGGGTGCTGTGTCGTTGTGTCGTTGTTGTTGTGGGTGCTGTGTCGTGGTGGTGGTGTTGTTGTGGGTGCTGTGTCGTTGTTGTTGTGGGTGCTGTGTCGTTGTGTCATTGTTGTGGTGTTGTTGTGGGTGCTGTGTCGTTGTGTCGTTGTGTCATTGTTGTGGTGGTGTTGTTGTGGGTGCTGTGTCGTTGTTGTGGTGGTGTTGTTGTGGGTGCTGTGTCGTTGTGTCGTTGGTGTTGTTGTGGGTGCTGTGTCGTTGTGTCATTTTTGTTGTGGGTGCTGTGTCGTTGTTGTTGTGGGTGCTGTGTCGTTGTGTCATTGTTGTGGTGGTGTTGTTGTGGGTGCTGTGTCGTTGTGTCATTGTTGTGGTGGTGTTGTTGTGGGTGCTGTGTCGTTGTTGTTGTGGGTGCTGTGTCGTGGTGGTGGTGTTGTTGTGGGTGCTGTGTCGTTGTGTCGTTGTTGTTGTGGGTGCTGTGTCGTTGTGTCGTTGGTGTTGTTGTGGGTGCTGTGTCGTTGTTTTCTGGTATTGTTGTTGTGGTGGTGTTGTTGTGGGTACTGTGTCGTTGTGGTGGTGTGGTGGTGTTGTTGTGGGTGCTGTGTCGTTGTGTCATTGTGGTGGTGTTGTTGTGGGTGCTGTGTCGTTGTTGTGGTGGTGTTGTTGTGGGTGCTGTGGTTGTTTTCTGGTATTGTTGTTGTGGTGGTGTTGTTGTGGGTGCTGTGGTTGTTTTCTGGTATTGTTGTTGTGGTGGTGTTGTTGTGGGTACTGTGTCGTTGTGGTGGTGTGGTGGTGTTGTTGTGGGTGCTGTGTCGTTGTGTCATTGTGGTGGTGTTGTTGTGGGTACTGTGTCGTTGTGGTGGTGTGGTGGTGTTGTTGTGGGTGCTGTGTCGTTGTGGTGGTGTGGTGGTGTTGTTGTGGGTGCTGTGTCGTTGTGTCATTGTGGTGGTGGTGTTGTGGGTACTGTGTCGTTGTGGTGGTGTGGTGGTGTTGTTGTGGGTGCTGTGTCGTTGTGTCATTGTGGTGGTGTTGTTGTGGGTGCTGTGTCGTTGTTGTGGTGGTGTTGTTGTGGGTGCTGTGGTTGTTTTCTGGTATTGTTGTTGTGGGTGCTGTGGTTGTTTCTGGTATTGTTGTTGTGGTATTGTTGTTGTGGGTGCTGTGGTTGTTTTCTGGTATTGTTGTTGTGGGTGCTGTGGTTGTTTTCTGGTATTGTTGTTGTGGTGGTGTTGTTGTGGGTGCTGTGGTTGTTTTCTGGTATTGTTGTTGTGGGTGCTGTGGTTGTTTTCTGGTATTGTTGTTGTGGTGGTGTTGTTGTGGGTGCTGTGTCGTTGTTGTGGTGGTGTTGTTGTGGGTACTGTGTCGTTGTGGTGGTGTGGTGGTGTTGTTGTGGGTGCTGTGTCGTTGTTGTGGTGGTGTTGTTGTGGGTGCTGTGGTTGTTTTCTGGTATTGTTGTTGTGGTGGTGTTGTTGTGGGTGCTGTGGTTGTTTTCTGGTATTGTTGTTGTGGTGGTGTTGTTGTGGGTGCTGTGGTTGTTTTCTGGTATTGTTGTTGTGGTGGTGTTGTTGTGGGTGCTGTGGTTGTTTTCTGGTATTGTTGTTGTGGTGGTGTTGTTGTGGGTGCTGTGGTTGTTTTCTGGTATTGTTGTTGTGGTGGTGTTGTTGTGGGTGCTGTGGTTGTTTTCTGGTATTGTTGTTGTGGTGGTGTTGTTGTGGGTGCTGTGGTTGTTTTCTGGTATTGTTGTTGTGGTGGTGTTGTTGTGGGTGCTGTGCCTTTAACGCAGCGTGTAGCAGATAATCTGCAGCCTCTCAGTCTGACCCACTTTGAGTCTCTGAGCTCAGAGTGAAACTGACTCCAGATCAGATCAGCCTGGGAACATCTGCCAACATCCAGAGCTCTCTGAACCAGATTACACTGATCCAGATGTGAGCCAGACCGGATCCAGACGCCCCGCCCCCGACATGTGTCTGTCTGAACTTAAACAATGAAGGACGTGTTCTTTATGATGTGATGAAGTGATTAACTTCTGACCCATGAGTTAATGATCTGAACTCTGATCAGCTGATGTTTCTCTCTCTGTTTGTTGTTGTTGAGTTTTGCTTTTGTTCATGTGTAGAAAATGTACTTAAAGTATTAAAAGTACTCACTGCAGAAAAGTGTTGCATTATAATATATTAGGCAGCAGGATGTTGAGCTGCAGCTCCTTCTCAGCTGATCAGTTTCAGACTGCAGCTGATGAGTCTTTTCATTCTGGATCAGCCTGCTGATTATTTCCTCCATCAATACATTGATTGTTTGGTTTGTAAAGGTTCTGAAAATAGTGAGAAATGTTGTCCCAGTTACCTCCTTCACAAAGTTTGTTCTGTCAGTCCAAACCTCTAAATAATTAAAACACATTAAAATAATCAAACAATTTAAAGAAAAAGCAGAAAATCTTAAAGATGGAAGCAGGACTGTTTTTTTTTTTTTTCATGAAAAAATGATTTTATGATCAAAATAGTTAGTCAGTTGACTTGATCAGTCGATCCTGTCAGCTGCACTTTAGAAACTGTTAACTAAACATCAGATTTTAGAAACTCTTCACTTTGTAAAGTAACTGAAGCTGTCAGAGAAATGTAGTGAAGTAAAAAGTACTACATCTCCCTCTGAGACGGAGCAGAAGGAGAAAGTACTCAAGTAAAGTACAAGTACCTCATATCTGTACACTGTCAGTGTACCTCCTACTTGTAGTCCAGCGGTGACCCCTCACCTCTTTCCACTTCACTACATTTGTGTGACAGCTTCAGGTGGAAGCAGCAGCTGAATGCAGTAGACAGTGAGAGTCTGTAGGGGGCGCTGCCGGGCTGCCGAGGAGCCGCTGAGCCAGCAGGGAGTCCGGGGGAGGAGAGAGGAGGGAGGAGGAGGAGTAACCGGACACCGACTCACGGAGCGGCTCCTGGCCGGTCACAGCGCATCGGAGCCCGGCGGCAGCAGCACCGAGCAGCGGCTCGACGAGCAGAGTGAGACCGAGGAGCAGCAGCTGAGGAGCGGCGGCGTGAGGCGGAGGCTCCGGTCCTCCCTGCCGGACTTTAACGCTTCTTCAGCCGCTTTATCTGCCGCTCTGTGGGGGGATAACGGAGTTACCGTGAAAGTGGGCGAAGTACCGCCGGTACTCCTCCGCCGGCAGCCTGACAGCCGCCAGCATGAAGAAAAACAACTCCGGGAAACGGGTGAGTGTTACCGGAACCGGGCCCGGCCACCGGCGGCTCGTGACGGTCCGTTTTCTAACGTTAAACCGAAGCTCGAGGAACAAAAGCCTCAGGATTAGTTCAAGGCTTTATTTTGAAGGCGACCACAGCCGCTATTTGCCTGAAGACTCCACTTCCGGTTTTCAGAATAAAGGCGTGATCGATCGATTTGAACAGTTTTAAAGATGAAAAGAGATGAAATGAAAAGTCCAGCGGGACAAGAGGAGGAAGAGGAGGAGGAAGGACCCGGGTCAGACTCAAAGCTTAAAGATCCAGACGCTTAAACCGGGAAACGTTCAGCGGTGTGACGGTTAATCAGCTGAGAGGCTCCGGTTTCACTGAACCGGACAGTTACGTAACCTATACAAAAGATCAATAATCAATACGTGAGCAGGCAGGAGCCGCTCTGTGCACGTGTTTATAAATGCGCTTTAAAGAAGAGAAGACCTGACACTTAAATATTACAGCAGAAAACATCTATATTTAAATTTAAATTTAAATTACATTTAATAAAAATACTAATCAATAGCAGCCTGCAGTATTTAAGCAAAGCAAATGACAAATAACAAAAAATCATATATATATAGTAAAAAAAAAAATCTGCTTCTGAACGTACTAATACTACTGCTATTATTATATACTACTGTATTAGTACTACTAAAAATACCAATAATAGTCCTCTCACATATGTATTATATTACTGTTATAGTACTACTAATAATACAATAATACTCCTTTTATACACTAATAATATACTACTGTCAACTACTACTAATAATACTATTAAATACAATGATATATAAAATATACTACTTTAATACCGCTACTACTACTAGTACTACTAATAATCCATCCATCCATCCTCAACCGCTTATCCTGCGTACAGGGACTACTACTAATAATACTATTAAACACTATTATAATATACTACTGTAATACTACTTCTACTACTAGTAATAATAATAATAATTCTGTTCAGAGTTCTATGATCCAGTTTATTGATCGAGTTGTTTATGTAACAGCGTTTTTAGTTTATTGATTATAAAGTTCTGAATATTTGGACGTGTCGTACATTCTGTTCTGATTCAGAGTATAAACACGTTTTACTGCAGTACTCCAGAGGTCACGTGCTCTGCGTGCAGACAGGAACTCGGACTGAGCACAGTGGTGAAATGAGGAAGTCTGTTTATATGAAGGCGTGTGCTTCAGCTGTGTGAACGCGTCCTCAGGTGGTCGCAGAACGTGACCCGATCTGAAGGACCAAAGCCTGAAAGGTCCGAGTGTGAACGAGGGTCTGCGGCTCAGCACCGCAGATCCGCTGAACCTTCCTCAGCCTCACAATAAAGCTGCAGGTAGATCTGGTTTCAAACCAGATTCAGCCGAGACGCTTCCTGTCTGACATCTAGTCTCAGTCAGGAGGATGTTCAGAGACTCGTCCCTGGTCTCAGGAGTCCAGCATTCAGTAACTGCCGTAGGTGTCGTTCACACCGGGGGCGCTGGGGGGGGGGCATCAGAACCAGAACCAGAACCAGAATCAGCCTAAATATGTATTGCTGTTTCCATACTTAAGAGACTAAACTGTACAAGTATACACAATAATACAATAGTACTGTAATACTAGACGTGTGTCCCAAACACTTTGTGAGGCTCATTTTGTTCCCGTCACTTTAAAAAAAATAGCAACAAGAACTTTTAAGAAATGAAAAGTTTATTCACACGAAAAGAAACAAAAAAAGTAACTTAAGCTAAAAACAAAAGAAGCTACTGATTCTGAAACGACCCAAAAATGTGCAGCTTTAATCAGATCAGGAGCCGGGGGCCCGTCGTCTCCCTGTGAGCACGACAGACAGGTTCGTCACGTCTTGTTTCTCCAACGTTAGAAACGTTTGCAGCATCGAAACAGTTTAACAGGTTGGTTTATTAACAGGCCAGAGTAGGTCGGCCGAGACAAAGACGTTGTCACGATAAAACACTTCATATCATTGGATGTCCACAGTCATCAGGATCAGCGTCACATCATTCAGTTTAAAGGCAGATTTTTGCTCCTGAGTGAAAGTTTCTGAGTCTAACTTTTCTCTCTGAACGTTCAGAACTATTCTGAGAAAATCTGTTTTCCTCAACAAAATAAATATGTTAGTAGCATTTAGACTGTAGACGTGTCTTTTTGAAAGTATTTGTTAAAATGGTTCTGATAAATTGTTGCAACAAGAAATGTTAAATAAGAAATGAGAATGCCTTGAGAAAGGTTTATTTGCACAATAAGAAAACATGCAATGCAATTTAAATATTGAAGAAATGAATGTGCATTGTCCAAGAAAGTAACTTAAGCTAAAGAAACAAGTTGCAGATTACTACTTTATTTTACATTCTATTTTTATATTTTGTATTGTCACCGTTCACCTGAATGTTATGTTTCCCTTTATATATATATAAAAGACATTTCAACCATAAAATAAAGAAAATGTCTCCAGAATGCAGGAAATTAAGTGTTTAATGCTCAAAATCTTCTGGGGGAGGAGTCCAGACCCTCCAAATCATTTGTTATGCTGTTACTGAGGAAAATAATATTGCTACTGTTTTATTGTCCATCTCGAGGCCGGTTGTTATCTCTGGGCTGACGCGCTGGTTCTTTCTGTACAGCGATGTGGTTCTGCCGGTGTTGGACCGACCTGGTGCTGCAGGTTTTATGCTGAGTATCTTCGTTATGTCGACTCTGCGGTCACCCTCGTTGCCCGTTTGATGCGCCACAGTGCAATACTTTTCCCGACCTGCTGTAATTTGTAATGATCTACTGAGATCTACTCTGACTCAAACTGGTTCCCTGTCGTATTCCTGAAACATACGCTGAAGTTTAAAGTCCAGTGAAGACGTGGAACAGCAGGAACAGTATTAACAGGATCCACGTTCTGTGTCTGAAGTTTAACTCAGCAAGTCAGTGACGAGAAATTCCAGTCAGAACTCAGAACGATGTGTTTTATTTCTTACAGAAGATTTACATTCTTTTCAAAGATAAAATCAATATAAATAAAATAAAACGTTCCACCCTTTCACATCTGCTTCTTTCTTAATGTGAGTCTGTGGGGAACGTTTGACCTCACTGGCTTCAGAGCTTCCTGGGGTCTTGGGTAGAACCATAAGGTAGAACCTGCTCTGACACCTTCCTGTTTCCTGTTTCCTGTTTCCTGTTCAGGGCCCGCAGGACGCGGCGCAGCATCACGTTCAGCCCGATAAGGTCGGCTGGATCCGGAAGTTCTGTGGGAAAGGGATCTTCAGAGAGATCTGGAAGAACCGGTTTGTGGTTCTGAGGGGAGATCAGCTGTTCATCTGTGAGAAAGAGGTGAGTCAGAGGGGGGCGGGGCTTACAGGTGACGGACACAGCTGCCACTCTGTCAACATATTGATCATTGCTGATAGAAAAAACTTATACATAATGATAAGACTAAACTTCAGACATGATCCGGTTCCAGTTCTGAATCTCTTTGTTCTATTTAAAGCCTGAAGAACCAGTTTGGTGTTAAACAAGCAGATCAATAGAGTCAGTAGAACAACAAACAGATTGTCAGTTGGGAACATTACTGCTGTGTGGTATTTGTCATGTTCCTCTGTGTTCTGTTGTTTTGGTTCTGATGGGAAACTGAAAGTTTCTCTGCAGGAGTCGAGTTTCAGTCTGAGCTGCAGACACAGGGAGAGCTCCGGTTTCACTGCTGCTCCAAACACAATACGGAACGTCCTCATAGAACCTGTGTCTACAGAACGTCCTCATAGAACTTTTATCAACTACAGAACGTCCTCATAGAACAATTATCTACTACAGAACGTCCTCATTGAACCTGTGTCTACAGAACGTCCTCATAGAACCTGTGTCTACAGAACGTCCTCATAGAACAATTATCTACTACAGAAGGTCCTCATAGAACAATTATTTACTACAGAAGGTCCTCATTGAACCTGTATCTACTAAAGAACATCGTGATAGAACTTTATCTACTACAGAAGGTCCTCATAGAACAGTTATCAACTACAGAACGTCCTCATAGAACCTGTGTCTACAGAACGTCCTCCTAGAACAATTATCTACTACAGAAGGTCCTCATTGAACAATTATCTACTACAGAACGTCCTCATTGAACCTGTGTCTACTAAAGAACATTCTGATAGAACTTTATCTACTACAGAAGGTCCTCATAGAACAGTTATCAACTACAGAACGTCCTCATAGAACCTGTGTCTACAGAACGTCCTCCTAGAACAATTATCTACTACAGAAGGTCCTCATTGAACCTGTATCTACTAAAGAACATCGTGATAGAAATTTATCTACTACAGAATGTCCTCATAGAACCTGTGTCTACTAAAGAACATTGTGATAGAACTTTATCTACTACAGAAGGTCCTCATAGAACCTGTGTCTACTAAAGAACATCGTGATAGAAATTTATCTACTACAGAATGTCCTCATAGAACCTGTGTCTACTAAAGAACATTCTGATAGAAATTTATCTACTACAGAATGTCCTCATAGAACCTGTGTCTACTAAAGAACATTCTGATAGAACTTTATCTACTACAGAATGTCCTCATAGAACCTGTGTCTACTAAAGAACATTCTGATAGAACTTTATCTACTACAGAAGGTCCTCATAGAACAGTTATCAACTACAGAACGTCCTCATAGAACCTGTGTCTACAGAACGTCCTCATAGAACCTGTGTCTACAGAACTTCCTCATAGAACAATTATCTACTACAGAAGGTCCTCATTGAACAATTATCTACTACAGAAGGTTCTCATTGAAGCTGTGTCTACTAAAGAACATTCTGATCGTGATTGAAGTTTTATCTAGTACAGAACGTCCTCATTGAACCTGTATCTACTACAAAACAATCTATTAGAACCTTTATCAAGTACAGAACATCATGCTAGAACCTGCATCTACTACAGAACGTCCTCATAGAACCTTTATTAACTTAAATATATTTTGTTAGAACCACAGTCTCTCTGGGATTGCTGTGCTGGAAACTTTAATAATTACTAAAGGTTCTTGTTAGAACCTTAGTTCACCGTTTGGCTCCTGGTGACTCGCAGCCACAGAAAGGTATCGGCCAGTGAGTCTTAGTGGAACCAGGAGGAACGATTCATTAGCTGTTTTTGTTTCAGCTTCAGGAAAACAAAGCGTTTTAAGGAAGTTCATCGGTTCCTCTCTGTGGCTGTCACTCTGTCGCCTGACCAATCACACGTCAGCTTCATGAAACTGTCTTATGGCCAAATTAGGACGTCTCTCTATCTGTGTGGGTCGAGGTTCAGACTCAGTTCTGCTTCTGTGGTTTGTGTGAAGCTAGACTTCCTGTCCCACCAGGAATAGAAACCGTGCCTGGCAACTGAGGAACCGCACACACACACAGAAAAACATACTCTGACCACATCTGCTTTAGATTTCACAGAACAAACTTCCTCTGAGAGTCGACGGTCCGCTGATGCACCGCTCTCTTCTTCTTCTTCAGGCGTCAGCAGCACTTTTGGTTCGGTTTCTTTTCCATCAGCTGATTTGCGAGCTGATCAAAATAAATGAAACACGTTTCCAGACTTCACTTGTTCACCGTCACGTTTGTGTTCTTTGTTGCTGCTGTTATCTGCGCCTGCAGCTCGTTCTCTTTCAATCAGACGTTGATTTTCTTCTCTACTGTTAAATAAATGCGTCTTTTTGCTTTGTTTAATAAATACAATGATTGTTTAAAATTGTCAGATATTTTGGAAGTCCAGTACCACCACCTGAGAAGCAATTAATTTTCTGTTGGTGGACTAATCGACGAATCGCCTATAACAGTGCTTCCTCAAAT